TGTGAATGCTAAGATAGGTTTGGGTCAGCATATGTTTGCTGAAAAGGGCGTAAGCAGAGTTCTAATTGATGACTTAAGACTGTTCTTATTCTCAAATTATCACTCAGAACTTACTAATGGTTCACAACAGGCTCAATCTCTGAGGAAGTGAAGTAGAGGAGGGAAAAGGAAGAGGAGAGCATTCCTATTCAGATTATACTTATTACTTGGTGCTCAGGACTATAGTTATGCCCTAGTATTTGTCTAGATGACTTGTGTATCAGGGTCATAAAATTAGAGCACATGTTGAAAATAAACAAATCAAAAATAGAAGTGTCTCTGGTTCCTTTTGAGGTTCAGAGAGAACATCAAACCAAAGTGGAACAAAAGGGGGCATAACATGTAAATGGATTTAAAATTAGCTGACTGCTATTATTAAAACAGGGTAATCAATCTGGTATTAGGAACAATCAGTAAGTAGCACTAGTGATTAACTCTAAGATTTGTGTTGGCCAACACACCATGGTAGGTCACAGCTGCTGCGTGTTCAGCTCCCATGCCTAGACCATACCACTAGTAACTGAGCAATAGCATCCAGGAAGGCTACATCTAAGTTTGTTACATTAGCTGAGAAGAATTGAAGATGGGGAAACAGAGAATACAGAAAGTGAAAAATCAGAAACCAGGAATTAGGTTAAATTCAAATTACTTCACACTGCACACACACGTGCTGTATTTAAAAGCTTTAAGTAAAGGGTGCTAACCCCTAATTGTTAAAGCTATTTGGTAGCTTAGCCTAAGATGAAACTATGCTAAGTCGTGTTAGCTTAAGGTGGTTTGTTTACAACATGGCATCAGCAGGTGACGCGTGTGCTATGTGGAGTTAGCACTTCCTGTGACAAGTCATTGTCATTGTAACCAATGCATGCCAGTGCAATTCAAGCAGTTTAGTGTCTGCCTATTTCAAAGAAGTTGCCCACAGTTTTAAAACGTGGTGCTTTCAGTCCTTCAAGACTTGTTGCGTTAAATAAGCACTTCTGTGAGTGCTTCTCTAATTTAACAATAAACTTCTTGCACTTGCTTAAAGAATAACAAAACAGGTTTACTGTAAGTTAAAGCCGGGTTAAACATATATGTAGTTATGTGTGCCTCACACATGAATACTGAAGTACAGTATTACACCTTTAGTTTCACTCAGCAAGTGAAACACAGTAATGACCACCAGGTTGCTAGGCTTGTAAACATACAGTCAAAGTGTAGATGAATTGCATCGATCTAATTATAATCTATAAGGCCTTTATGCTGTGGAAAGAGGAGCATCACTCAAATCTACCTTTATATAACACTGTACTGAGATTTCTTCATCAGAAACAGTTTAAACAATACTGCAATTTTGTGATTTCTTCATTAAAGCAGATTAATGCATTATGGTACAGTTTGGACATGTTGCTGAGCTGAGATTTCTTCATCAGAACAGACTTACGCTTTAATACTGAAATTAGGGTTTCTTCGCTAAAATCAGATTAACCTTACACTGATACCATTAAGCATGAAATACATAAAGACTCTTTCAATCATAATAGCGGTACCAATTCAAGCCCCTACTTTATCTGCATTTAAACAAGCCAGCAAATAGGGACACAAATGCCTATCTCAAGTCACGCCCTATTCTTACCTGGACTATCAAGCACACACTTTTAGGTTGACAGTGTTTTAAGCTCATAACCTTTGTTTTATCATGCCTGCATTCTCCACCATTTATGTAGCGAATCAGCTCAAATGGGAAATATGAATAATGAATTATAACTAGTTATAATTAATTATAAATATTTAGATCTGCTGTAAGTACTTACTTGACCTATCAGTGTCAACTGTCTGTCAATTCTAAGAACATTAATTTCCTGGTTAAGGAAAATAACTTTCTTACTGTACAATACTACTCAGAGCATGTAGAACAAATCTGCATGATTAGGGACTCCAGTTATGAGCAAACAATGAACAACCTCAAGTGTGGTACAAGTAAGACTTTATAAACTACATAAACACTTAAACTAGTCTAACATACACATACACACACACACGCATACAGTTGGCATAGGAAAAAGGGTTAAAGCTTAAGCAGTAAAGAGAAGATAAATAAAAACATGAAGCTATGGTACCATTTGATATTCAGCAGATCTACAGCCTGAAGGAAACATCAGTTTCTTAGTTCAAATACACCTTTGTTAAAGGTGCAAATTATACTTATTGTATCAATTAATAAGACTAAATTTGATACTTGTACGTCTCGCCTGTTTGAAAAAGAGTCCTGATGCTCTTTGCGGCTCCAGTAGGTTGGCTGAAGTTAGGTGATGAGAAAGAACCATTTTGAGTCAGAGGATCTTGATGAATGGAAAGACTAGGCACGAGG